GGGGGGGGGACACTCAACTGTACATGACGGTGTCCCGGGCCTCGGACTTCTGACTCCCTGACCAGAACTGTGCAGAAATCTTCAGACCAAGCTGCAGAAAAATCCCGACTCGTCCCTACCTCCTTTCACCGAAGAGCTGGAGCATGTACAGGAAGAAGTTCAGGAAATCCATGTAGAGATTCCACGCGGCAAAGGCGTACATGTCAATCGTGTACTCGATGTGGCGCTTGCCGCCTCCGAAGTTCGCAGAAGCAGAGCCGAAGATCTGCTGCGTGTCGTAGACTATGATGAAGCCGAACAGCGTTGCCCCCACTCCGGCGATTATTTTGGTGACAACGACACTGCTTGGAAAGAAAGAATATACACAGATGGTCATGAGCAGGCCCAGCAAAAGTACCATAATGTAAGCACCGCAGCCTGTGAAATCCGCCTGGGTGCGCACGGCGTAGATCGTCAGGGCAATAATCAAGACGGCCGTGAGTGCAAAGACGAGCAAGACCGACTGTGCTGTATATTGCGCACAGACGAACCCCACTACCACACCAAGGCACAACGACCAAAGAGTCAGGTACATGTAGTTCCATGGGGCCGTCTTCATCATCCAGAAGTAACTCTGAAAGAGTCCTGTGCTTCCACAACACGCACCCTGGCAGGAAGCGGCCAAGTCGAAGACCAACTGGGCAATCACGACCCCCACGGCGATGTACAAGATCCAGACATGTTGGAGGATGAACTCTTGCGCCTTGTCAGCGACAAGAACGAAAGGCAAGCTGACTGCGAAGGTGAGCAGTAGCATCATCCCGAGGATGCCATACACTTTCTTCACGAATCCCAGTCGAATGTCAGGTGGAAGGTGGACGTCCCTGCACGCCAGCTGCAAGACATCCAGGTTTGGACATTCCGGCCGAGGCATCTGCTGAGATGCTGCACTGTTGGGGTAGTGGGCTTGGTGGTGGGCGTGCTGGGGGTGGTGGGGGTGCTGAGGATAGTGCGGATACGGCTGCTCGACATCCGCCGGCGTTCCCACCACCTTGCCCTGAACCACTGGAAGCGCAGCCATGGTGTCGGCACTGCTCTCTGCTATACTCGCCCGCTATTCAGCCAAGACCGAGACTGCAGAAAACCAGCCTTTACAACGCTCCTGAAAGGTCCCGCGAAGGACTAGTTCCCGTAGGCGGGGCATGACAAAAGAACCGCAGAGCAAATGAATCCTGACTTGCGGCTTTCCCATCAAATGCTGTGTGCTGACAATTGAAAACCCTCCTCCTCCTCTTGCTCCCTCCTGCTCCTCCTGCTCCTCCTGCTTCTCCTGCTCCTGCTCCCGCTCCTGCTCCTCCTGCTGCTGCTGCTGCTCTCCTGCTCTCCTGCTCCTCTGCTCCTCCTCTGCTCCTCCTCTGCTGCTCCTCTTCTGCTCCTCTTCTGCTCCTCTGCTGCTCCTCTGCTGCTGCTCCTCTGCTGCTGCTCCTCTGCTGCTGCTCCTCTGCTGCTTCTCCTCTGCTGCTGCTCCCCTCTGCTCCTCCTCCTCCTCCCCCTCCTCCCCCCTCCTCAACCACAAGCCATGTGCGAGACCAAAACCGCTACCAGAAGGCCTCTTCAAGGATTGGCCGGTTGGCATAGAGGTCGATGGCCTCTGCTGAGGTTTAGGGGCATAGATTGGGCTTGAGGACGTCCCATGGACAGATTGAGTCCTGTTACCACTACGTATTTGTTCGGTATCTCAGTCTCGGTCATGATCTTTGAATCTTTGAAGCTTGCATTTTTGCCAACGCTACTGACGACGGGCAACAGCAACAAAACAACGACGAGGAGGGCCATGACCAATCTTACTGCTATTCTCTTGTTGCCACAGTTACCAACACACTGCCTCCTATCTGGGCACGTGCTAAGTATACTGCTGTGGTGACTATGATAGTTCTGCAACACGTGGTATGCAGAGCTTAGGAGCTCTGACTTCTACTTTGCACTAACCTGCTTCCAACATGTTGAAGCTTGGTTCAAATACAACGCGCTTGAACTCCATGCTCGAAACGGGCAGCTGAGCACGACAGCACACGGACCCAAACTCTGTCCCCCAATGTGTGTCAACCCGGCAGAAGAAAAGCCTTGCCTTCGCCAAAAAAGGCTCTAGCAGTCGCGACCTAGGGAACACAAGCTCGTGGTGATTCTGAAGCCGCTACTGTCGGTGATGGTGATGCTGAGGACTATGATGGTGATGATGATGATGATGATGATGATCCTGATCCTGATCCTGATCCTGATCCTGTTGTTGCTGCTGGTGTTGATGCTGCCGTTGCTTCTACTGCTACTTGTGTCAACGATGTTGTTTGAGTGCTGCCATCGTGCTTGTCGCAGCTACTGTTGCTTCTGTTCTGGTTGCTGCTGCCGTTGCCGATGCTGGTGTTGCGGCTGTTGCCATTGCTGTTGTTTCCTCTGTTGTTGTTGGTCTTGCGAGCACTGGTGCCTACAGTGTTTGTCTTCATCTTTTTTGGATTCATTCATGGTGCTTTGTGTACATCACTGCGCTATGGATGTCAAGTGGTTTTGCCATCATGGTGCCTGCAACTGCCTTGATCATACAGACACAAGTCCCTGCAGCTTAGTGAATACCGTCATACAAATCTGAGCCATCTGTAGTCGTCATCATCGTCGTATCTATGGCAGCTGAGGTACCATCAGCTATGTTCTTTCCTTGTCCTGTCTCGTTCCTTGGTCGATTCTTTCTACTAGTGTGGCGGCTGCTGCTGCTGCTGCTG